AGAGATACAAATATGTCTGCATACCTGAAGCCCCTGTTTTATCATCATAGGGTTTTCAGCAAGAGGACTCAAAGTAAGTAGACACCAAGTCTTTGTCCCTATTTCATTCATTAAATTATCAAAAGGTAAAAATAAAAGATCTTATGCTCTTTATTCAATGAAGATCCATCTTATTGTAAATAGCATTAGAAAGCTTAAAAAGGTTTAAAATTACAGGGTTTATGCTAATTTGTTTTGCAGGATTTTTGTTCTTAGAGTGAWTTGATTGAACTGATGTTTTCATCATTTAAATTTTGTTTTCAGGTACATCAAGTTTCCATTGTTGCTTAGGTCAAATGCAGCTCAGTAAATTAGAATGAAATCATGTACAGCTATCAAACAATGTTTTGAACTGCAGTGAGTTAACAAAAACCTAACAGAAAAAGAATGGATGAAGTAATTTTTGTGTTTATACAACGATCCACATCGGTAGAATGCCAAACCCTAAATTTGGAGGTCAGGTTAAACAATTGAATACAGACCCTGAATGAGGTTGTACAGCACGCTAAAATGTGTTTGCAGAATACAACTGTCAATACACTGAAGCACTGAAAAACAATTCAGTCTCAAGTGTCCACTGTGTCAGATTGTGGAGGATCCAGTTAAGCCTGCTTTTCATTGACATGTAGAATAGCTATGGATTTCTCTTTCAGCTGCAGAACAAGATGACATCAGATATCTGGAAGAAACAAGACAAACATTCCCTTGGATGTAAGCCTTGGAACACCAGGCCTCAGAAGTCATCTAGTTTCCCAGATGCAGGGAGGTGAAGGGGTCTACAAAGCACCCCTGTGAGACAGTTTAAGTAGAAACAGCTGCTATTTGTTGTCAGTACTACTGAGATATAAAAGACCCCAAAAGATAACGTGCATGTTTGCTTTTATTTGTCTGAAACTCGAGTTTTGAGATTTCAAACTGCTAGCTTGGGCAGAACAGCAGCACAGTGGTTCGAGCGGATGTATCACAATGAGAAAGTCACAAGATCGTCTCCCAGCCCTTCTGTGGGAAGTTTGCATTTTGTCTTTACTCTCTGTGCATGCATGGGTTTTGTCCAGGTACTCCARTTTTCTCCTACAGACCAAAAAATATGCATGTTAGGTTCATTGATAACTCTAAATTGATGATGATGATGTGGGTGAAAGGGTGCTTTTTCTTTRCTGGAGACAACAAATGATGAATTCACAGAATTAGGAAAGAATCTTTTACCCACTGTCACAAAACTATGTTTGAAGTAGGTCTGTGTTGAAAAGAAAACCATTAGCTACAACAAGTCATGTTCTTTACCATAATACCATGTTTCTATGATGACTACCAAACCAAATAAGAGTGAGCGTGCAAAGACATATAAGTTACYTATTTTAGAAAGATGTACTAATAAATTACTTAAAATGTTAAAAGCTTCAAGTTATTTCAATCCAGTTCACAGTTTATTTTAGTTATCTGATGACTCAAATCTTGTTACTGTCTAAAGCAACTCAACATCGGTTGCATTTGTTTCCAGTTTAATTCTTACATCATAAAGACTCAATGATGCTATGAACAAAAATAAAATAAAAAAATAAATCTAAATAACCATTTAGGCTGCCAGGGGAGAAACAATCCAAAATGTAAAAATGTGATGTTACTGTGCAAAGTGTTTCATACAAATGAAATGTTCCTCATGACATTTAAGGAAGTGTCAGCTTATTTAACAACCTACATCATTTTTATTTAAGTATATACTTTCAGGGATTTTTTAAAATATACAGAAGTGTTTAATAATGCTTCTAGTGTGAGTGCCTTTGTTGAAAGCAAATGCATTCACTTGGTTATCTTCTTTAGAAAGGAAAAGCCACAGCACCAGTTAGTGGACAATTAGAATGTATTTCCCCACAAAATGCACACCTGCTACCTCACACATACCCAAATACATATTTTTCTATTTTACTGTATTTCTTTTTTACTTACAAACCCAACTAGTTAACAGAAATGAACTCTAAGTGGTGTTTAAATAAAGCAACTTATTAATTGAAAGTCTAGCTTTCCCTGAAGGAATGCATACGACCAATGTCTTTCATGCCAGAGATTTAGACTGAGATATTCCTGTTGAGAAATGATGCTGTTTTTGTCAAACCTTTTTATGCAGTACATGCAGTTTATGCATGAGTTCGAATGCGCTAGGAGTATGTGGTGTGAATGACTGTCAACTACAAACACACAAAATTCCAGCCCAATATCTGTAAAAACTGGTTGAGTTGTAACAAGTTTACTGTTTTCTAGGGTCAGTTTTCTGTGGCAGACATCTTGAACTGAGTTGACTCCAGTAGCAGATGTTTCATTCAAATCCATCCAGTGGTTGACAGAGGTTAGTATAATACCCAAACATTGTATTCAAGTAAAAGTAGAACAATTCAATATATTTTTACTCAAGTAAAAGTTAAAATTAGCTGTCCAAAAATATTCAAGTAAGAGTAAAAAAAATATTTTGTAAAACTTGAGTATTGAGTTACTGATAATGACATCTGATGTAATAATTGCAAACAAACAAATTCAAATAGAAACACTTTTCAAGGTATTTTTTCTCATTATGAAGCTAATACTTACAGTATTAATGTATATAAATTTCAGAATTTTGTTCAGTGGCGTTACTTACAGTGGACAGTGTATATTCAGAAATTTTACTCAAGTGTAGCGATACTTCATAATTTTATTGCTCAAGTAAAGTCAAAAGTACAGTATGTTGTAGTAAAACTATTTTTTTCCCCAAAAATCTTACCCCAGTAAATGTAACTACCACCCACCCCTGGTGATTCATAATATATTTTGCTAACCGACAGATGAAATTTTTGTGTTTGCTGTAACGCTCAGCATGGAGTGGTTATTGATTAATCAGTTTTGGATGTCAACCAATGATTACTTTCTAAGAGTTTCAATAAACTCTGCAGAGTGATGAAACTGAACCCATGTTAACAATCCAAGAACATTGGACCAGTTACAGTGGTTTGCAAAAGTATTCATACCCCTTGAACTTTTCCATATTTTGTCACATTACAACCACAAACATAAATATATTTCACTGGAATTTAATGTGAAAGACCAACACAAAGTGGTATACAATTGTGAAGTGGAAGCAAAATTTTACATGAATCAAAACATTTTTTACAAATAAAAAACTGAAAAGTGCGATGTGCAAAATTATTCAGCCCCCCTGAGTCAATACTTTGTGGAGCCACCTTTTGCTGCAATTACAGCTGCAAGTCTTTTAGGGTATGTCTCCACCAGCTTTGCACATCTAGTGACTGCAATTCTTGCCCATTCCTCCTTGCAAAACAGCTCAAGCTCAGTCAGATTGGATGGAGAGCGTTTGTGAACAGCAGTTTTGAGATCTTGCCACAAATTCTCAATTGGGTTTAGGTCTGGACTTTGACTGGGCCATTCTAACACATGAATATTCTTTTTTTTAAACCACTCCATTGTAGCTTTGGCTTTATGTTTAGGGTCGTTGTCCTGCTGGAAGGTGAACCTCCGCCCCAGTCTCAAATCTTTTGCTGACTCCAACAGGTTTTCTTCCAAGATTGCCCTGTATTTGGCTCCATCCATCTTCCCATCAACTTTGACCAACTTCCCGGTCCCTGCTGAAGAGAAGCACCCCCAGAGCATGATGCTGCCACCACCATATTTGACAGTGGGGATGGTGTTTTCAGAGTGATGTGCAGTGTTCTTTCTCCGCCACACATAGCGTTTTGCATTGTGGCCAAAAAGTTCAATTTTGGTCTCGTCTGACCAAAGCACCTTCTTCCACATGTTTGCTGTGTCCTCAACATGGCTTCTGGCAAACTGCAAACGGGACTTCTTATGGTTTTCTTTTAACAATGGCTTTCTCCTTGCCACTCTTCCATAAAGACCACATTTGTGTAGTGCACGACTAATTGTTGTCCTGTGGACAGTTTCCCCCACCTGAGCTGTGGCTCTCTGCATTTCATCCAGAGTCACCATGGGCCTCTTGGCTGCCTCTCTGATCAGTGATCTCCTTGTTCGGCCTGTAAGTTTAGGTGGACGGCCTTGTCTTGGCAGGTTTACTGTGGTGCCATACTCTTTCCATTTCCAATGATGGATTGAACAGTGCTCCGTGAGATGTTCAAAGCTTGGGAAATCTTTTTATAACCTAAGCCTGCTTTAAACTTCTCCAAAACCATATTCCTAACCTGTCTGGTGTGTTCTTTGGACTTCATGATGCTGTTTGCTCCCCAATATTCTCTTAACCAACATCTGAGGCCGTCACGGAGAAGCTGTATTTGTACTGAGATTAGATTACACACAGGTGGACCCTTTTGAGTCATTAGCAGTCATCAGGCAACTTCTGAATGCAATTGGTTGCACTCAGGGAAAAGGGGGCTGAATACTTTTGCACGTCGCACTTTTCAGTTTTTTATTTGTAAAAAATGTTTTGATTCATGTAAAATTTTGCTTCCACTTCACAATTGTATACCACTTTGTGTTGGTCTTTCACATTAAATTCCAGTGAAATATATTTATGTTTGTGGTTGTAATGTGACAAAATATGGAAAAGTTCAAGGGGTATGAATACTTTTGCAAGCCACTGTAAACAACATGGCTGCTCATATCCAAATAAAACATAAACTGAGATTAGAAGTATGAATTGGCTTTTTATCTCTATGTAAATTTTGTGTAGTAGCGACATAAACTTGTACAGGAAGGTATATATCAGAGTATCACTTCCTCTTAATTGGTATAAAAATCCCACTTAACAAATGTAAAACAGGGCATGAAGACAGATGAGTAAATTACAGCTCCTTATGAGAACACTTCCTGTAACAGGCAGGCTTTAACTGATGAGGAGAAAAACAGTTCCAGGCAGTGAGAAAGAATGTCAAATCAGCAAGTTTTTCATGATGTTGCTTTTACTTCTCTAATGTGAGTCCATGCGGCCAGACTGCTAGCAGACTTGGCCACTGGCTGAGGCCAATTGTCTGAGTTGAACATCAGAGCACAAGACTCCCCACTTGGAGAGACAGCGGAGAGAGCAAACCGTGGAGAAGTTTCAGCAGCCATCCCTCAGACAGGAAGACTCTAGAGGAAACACCAGAAAGCCATTAACTAACCGCAGAATTATGGTGATCTATTCGCTGGGATGGGCAACAGACAGCTAATGAACAAGCCTCAACTCCCCCCCACATCACTTCCCCACACTACCTCCACCCACACCCCATCAAACACACACACACACACACACTGCATGTCCACACATTGAGCAGCAATCCAGGAAGAGCTTTAGCTTGTATAAGAACAGCGTGGTACATTAACGTCGGATTCTGAAATCAGAAGGGGGGAAAGGGTTACTACTGGGATTACTGTCCTCCTATATCTAAAACACTCTCATACCCGTTTGAACCAAACAAATCCAACCCCCCCCACCAACCCCTAAACAACACATGCACACATCTCCTAATTAAGAGCGAGGCGGCAAGGCTTTTTTGTGTCTGTGGTTATGCTTGCAATGTTAGTGTCTGGAGTGTGAAAACCGATCTGATGGAGCAGTGCCCTCGGTTCTCCCTGATCAGGCTCCAGCAGGTATCTCCCCTCCACCCTCTCCGTGATTGACAGCTCACAGGTCAGGCGCCCATCTCTCGGACTGTTAGAGGGTGGGCGGTAAAGAGATTTGGAATGCCTGGGACCCTGATTGCTTTATTGCTCGCCTGTCAAAACCATTGTACGGCTCTGTATTATTAGGGCTTGCCATCTCTCACCGTCTGGAAGGTGTCGCGTCTCAGCTCTGCATAAAGAATCACCACTCTATTCAAAACCCTCTTTCTTTTTTGGCTGAAAAGAAGAAAGCACAGATTTTTCCACACAATCTCCTGTACTGGTTTGTCAGATAATGCAACACGAGAGTCTCCAGGGAATGGTTTCGATGGGGCTGCTTTACACTCAAATGAAGGAGATTCAAGATCCCATTTGGCAATAATTTATCACAGCATTACCAATGATAGTCTATAACACTATACAGAAAGTACTCTGATGTGTCTGATTTTGTATCTAATCATCTCGGGTCTTTTATGGTGAGCTCTGAAACAGCGGAAGACAACAAGCTTTTGTTATTCCAGTTTTCACTTTTGTTATTGTTGCTTTACTTTACAAGCCTAATTCTTTTTCTTTTTAAAAAAACCTTAAAGAATTTATTCCTTTACACTGCGGTGGTATGAAAGACATTGTAATGAACATTTGAACAATTCTACACAATTTATCTACAACTGATGAGGGTAATACGGTTGTGTATTGGCAAAAATTTGGTGATATAAYACATTGCACCTCACAGTTCACAAAATGTTGCGATAATGTAACCAAGGCAAAATATTGCCATTTATTTTTCTCTAAAACATTCCAATTTTTTTAATTACGCAATCAGAAGAACACTAAACTACAGTGAGAACTGCATTTTTATTTTGCATTTCTTCATACAACATCCACCCGTAAGTCTTAGTTAAATATCAATACAGTGCTTGTGAGAATTGATACAATAATAGGAAATAGAGTAATGTGATATTTCAGTGTAACAATATTTTCTTATACTCCTAGAGGATAATGCTTAAAGCTGATGTTCACAGAAGTCCAACATTGTTAAAAGACATTGAATTTGAGCAACAAATCTGATAGTTTAGGTAAAAAAAAGTGTATTTATTCAAATGTCAGTTGAGGTTTAAAGGAAGTCATCAACAGCTACGAGTGGCCCTGGTGTCCATTACAACTTTATTTTTATTTTCCCTGGTATTGTTGTAGCTTTTCATGACTGAGAACAGTGATCAGGGTCTAAAGCTATTTTAATAATAAGTTACTATTTACTGTTTTTGATTAATTACATGTCTTATTAGTCGGAAAAAATAAATCTATTTTAAAGCAAAGAAATCTATTTTTTCTACTTTAACTTGGATGTTTTAGGTAATAATTGCTGATGTGAGAGGGCAAGTTCAGACAAGGCAGGTGTAATGACAGTTCAGATTAAACACGTGACGCCTTCGAGCACTGAGAGCAAAATCAGAAAATATTGCCTAAACATCAGTCCTAAACAATGTACTTCCTCAGAAATTATCCAAGCTCCCCTAATAAAAAAACAAGTTTTTTTATATTTTTGCTGATTTGAATGATGGTATGATTACTAATCAAATACAATACAAAGAAATGTCTTTTTGACCTATTTCTGTATGATTATTGTGAGGTCATTTCGCCACCTACAGCAGATTTGTGTTTCTTTTTGATGACAAACGCAAGTTCACCCATAGTGAGACACAGAAGTACTGTCCATCTGTTTTCTTTTTGTGTTGTAGCCACAGATCTAACTCTAAAAAGCTTTAGTTGAAAAAAAGGAAAGTTTCTTCAAGGTTTCAGGTACGGCAAAATTTCAGTGAACAAAGACAAAACAGAAGGTATTTGTGTCAATTGTGTTCTTTTCTGCCTCAGCAAATTCTTCAATTGCCGATGAACATTTTTCTGCCATATTGTCTCATTCATCATTAAATGTGTTTAATCTTTACAGGAGACAAAGAGAACAGCACTGTTTTTAACCATTCACAGGCTACATAAATGGCATCCTCTCCGGACCTCAAAAGATGCATCACAATACAGAGTTGTCGCTTAGATTTCATGTACATGGTGATTACATTCTAATTTTAAAATTAGGTCTAAATAGTTACTATATAAATATGTAGATTGTTTTAATTCGGCTATCAAAAAATAAAAAGAAGACTGTTCAGTTCAGTACGACAGAAAAATATGGCTCAAGAAAATTTCACATCAGGAGAGGTTATGTTGTCGAAGAATGTCTTCACTACAGTTCATTCCCACTGGAACAAAGAGACTTGAACACAACGGTCGAGTGAACAGTGCCACCACACAAATCCCTAGCTGTTTTTTTTTTCTTTTCTTTTTTATTCATGTTATTCCCTGAGCCAAGATGACAGACTGGCAGGTTGTTTAAGGTCATCAGAGCAGTGCCTCCTGCTCTCCTGAATCCCAGGTGATGGCCGGGCCACCCTCCCTGAGTGATCTTGCTGCTCCAGGCCACAGCAGAGACAAGCCCATTGGGGTGCCACGACTCGCTCTCCATGGATACGGGTGACAGGCTTGGCYGTGGCTCAGGCTCACACCTTCATGGTCAGCGACTCAGAATCTCAGAGGGGATCCCCCCCCCCAGCCTAACAGCAGTTGCRTACAAGTTACAATCGCCCCCACCCCACTCTTACCCCACCAAAAAATGAATAAAATAAAAACATTMATTCCCTCTTTGTTGTTTTCTTCTTAAAAGCTGGTGCGAGCACGACAGCCCACCCCTATCAGAGCAACCCTCCTTGCCCTGGCAGCACTGCCCTTGTGAGGCCTGCTGGGAACAGTTGTGGGATGTTAGATTAGACCTGCAAGTCTGGGCAGGGCCTAAGAGGGGATGCAACGCACTGGGACTGCCCACTCTGTTGATGGCTCATGCTCCATTATGCTTTTATCTGCGGGTGTGAAAATATCATTCCCAAAAGCTGTCTCCTTTAAGCTGCTCTCACAATTGGCTGCTGATGAAAACTGGCTGGACCAGCTCGGTTCAGCATCCCTGATGGTCCATGTTATCACATCCCAGTGCAGTGATCATATCTGACAGACAGCTGAACAGCACATCCATACTTACGAATATATATATACATCACTGAAAAGCAGCTTTCATTCTGATGATCGTATTGATTTTTAAATGTGAGACCGGTCTTCTTTGTGTATGTGTGTTCTAATCTGAGAAATGAATGATAACCTCTTCATCACTCTACCCCCTGAGTGTTCTTACTGGAAGCCATATTGATTTTGTTAGTCTGAGAGTCCTTGCATCGCATGGCCTTTACCTCAGGGACAAATCTAATTGTTTATCTCTGGACAGACTTCTGCCTTTACTCCCTTCTGTCTCATTATGTGCCAAGATTTGTCAAGTCAAGTCTCTCCACACTCTCGAATCGCGCTTTACAACATGTCGTTCGGCAGAACACTACAGATGGCTTACTTATCAACAGACCCTCCCACATGCAATGCTACAAACATGACAGCACAACACACTTGCAAAAATATACACAAACTGACATACAATGTAATCACACTCTGGAGACGCAATTACACAGACTGACACACAAACATGAGTCACTTTTTTTCAAGAAACACTGATTTTTCTGATCACTCCACTGGTTTTTCTGAGAAACATGATAAACAGCTATTCAGATCCCGAATAAAGTATGCACATTATGGTTTTATATTTCTAAAATGTACCTTTTTTATCATTTTGCATTTGGATCCATTCTATCAAATGATTTGTAAGTGAATAAAAATACACATGTAATTGCTGATATCACTGCTGTTATAGTAATGAGTAATGATCAAACCAATAAAAAAATCTGACTTGCGTAAAAGAATTGTAGTGTAATACAGCCAGCCTTGGGATTTACAGTGAGTTATTTTTCAGTGATGAGTATATATGCAGCATTGAGTGAAAGGTTTTTATTGTAAATGCAATTTTTGTTGTTTTTACTACACCCCAAGATTTCACTGCAATAATCTATTAAAGAATAATTTTATATTATATTTTTGAAAGAATAAGAAGTATAACATGTTTCACAATAAAGTACAGACACTGGATTACACTATTCAGCACCAAAAATAATTCTAGTAAAAGTTTGTTTTTTTTTCAATATACCAGCATAAAATTATGTAAATTTCTCTATGGTAAAAAAAATGTCTAAACTAAACAGCAGTTGTTTGAACACTTGAAAAGTAACAAGTTCAGGCAACACTGTCATGTTGCAAACTAAAAGAAAACTAGCGTTTACACTGTCAAATCTAACACCATTAAAAACAGTTAATCTGTGAACGTTTCTCTGCAATAAGTCAATATGGTGCAAGGCGAGCATCATGTCTCAGTCTCAGATCAGAGTTACTGGCATATTGTCTCAAATTGAGTCATCTGTGCCGCCATGGCTAATTTAATCTATCCATTRCCCGACTGCAGCACCGACTGCTGCATTTTGTAAACTTAACACAAACTTAACTAAAAT